GCGCGTGGTGAGGAGGCCACATGTGCCAAGGAGACCTGTGTGCCAAGGGGACGGTGTGTGGCGAGGGGACTGTGTGTGCTGAGGGGACCATGTGTGCTGAGGGGACAGCATGTACCGAGGGGACGGTGTGTGCCAAGGAGACCTGTGTGCTGAGGGGACAGTGTGTGCCCAGGGGACTGCGTGAACTGAGGGAACCACGTGTGCCGAGGGGGCCACATGTGCCGAGGAGACCTGTGTGCCGAGGGGACGTCGTGTGCCGAGGAGACCTGTGTGCCGAGGGGACCACGTGTGCAGAGGGGACCGTGCCACGGGGTTTCCAAGGCTGTGCCCTTCAGAAGCAGAACGACAGGCCTCTTCTCTGCCTCTGGGTGGGTTTGGGCTGGTAGTTGAGCCGTTAACCATCTGTGGCCCGGTGACTCCTCAGTAAAACATGACATTCCTGGGCAATCACGTGTCGACACTGGGTCACTGACCGGGACAGCGGGAGCACACTGGTGGAGCCTGTTCATAACGGGGCCCTGACACGGGCAGGGGTGCCTGAGAGTACTCTACATGTTTTCAACTTCTCGTGGGGCCCCCACCTGTCCTCCCTCCCCACTCCCTTCCCAGCCCTGCTATCCCACCTTTGCCTGTGCTGGGACTTCTACCAGGACACACCCTGTCCTCTCTGAACGCCACTGCCTCCAGGAAGCCTTCCTTAACTGCCTCTTGCACCCTGATGCTTGCTCACCCTTCAAGGCCCTGTTCAAACATCACTGCCTCCAGGAGGCCTTCCCTGACTGCCTCTTCCCCCTCCCACCCACTCCACCCAGCCCACATCCTGACCTGGCTTTGCTTCTGTGTGTGGTAAACGCATATGTGACAGGACCTCCACGTTCTTCACATGTTCAATTTGATCACACAGGTCACACTCATCCTGTGGTCTAGCCACCACCACTGTCCACTTCCAGTTTTGCTGTCCCCCTTAAGGAAGATTGTGTGACGTTTCTCTTGGTTAGACAGAGGGATGGGCATTGGGGAGGAAGTCCTCAGGGATGCCCTGCCCATCCCGTCACGTGAAGGTTAGGTGCTGTCATATGACCTGTCCCTGCTGGTTTGACCTTGATGCCATGGCTGAGGTCGTGTTGTTTGGTGTCTCTGCTGTGGTGTCATTCCCACACTTTGCTCTACGGAAGGACATTGCTGCATGTGCTCACCCGTAAAGAGTGGGAGTCACGTCACCTCCTGTAGG